TTCACCTCTGATCCAAATCCAAATAACCCATGTTGTAAACCAAAGACATTTCTGGAGATATTCTGGTGACCAAGTATCATTTGAGCAGTTCATCCTCCCTCCAACTGGTCTTTCAAAATATCTCTCCGACCACGGTGTATAATTTCCCTCAGAAATTTTCTAGTAAGTATAATCTCTCCATTTTGTTAATTTCCCAGTGATGTTCTGGTGTCCCTTAAGGACAAGGATTGGGCATTACCTGACTGGTCTACCTCTCCATATTACATGGCCAATCTCATGCCATTGCCACCTGGAGCTATTGGTGTTAGCATTACTGAACACTTGACCTTCCCTCCTTACCTTCCTACATGACAGAAAGCGGAAGTGCATTTCAGAGCACCAGCTCTTTCCCAGTGTAGACGCCCCTAAACACTCTCGAACTGCAATGAGTAGATGTGTGGGTTCAGGGCACAAAGGACGGTAAACATGGAGACCGAGATGCAGCAGATATATATCCTAAACATTCCTGTACCTAAATAATCTGAATATGCTAAATCAAGTGAAATACAGGATTATTTCGCTCTGTTACCGTGGCTTAAGTGAGTATTTAAGATTTTTTCTGAGAAATCAGCTATACATTAACTTGTTTAATGAATAGAACTTTGTGGACTTCTCGACCCTGCCATTTCATTAACATCTTTTGTGTGTAAATTTCTAATTGGTTTCTTTATACTCACTTATAAAATGAATATATTCTGTGTTACCATTTTATATAAAATCAAGGTCTAGACATGTACATGTACCACTAAAATTAAATCATCAATAATCACTATCTAAAATGAAATACATTCCAAAAGCTCTGGCTAATGATTTATCTCTTCCTCATAGAACCGATCTCTATCAGATTGATTTATGTAGCAGCCAATCATGTTTCAGTAAACTGCAGCATGCACATGCATCTTTAAGTGATGATAAGCTGTGACTGTCCATTTATTTGTACAACACTAGCAACAAGAAAGAAAAGAAGAAAAAGAAAGTCTCAAGCTCTTTTGAAAGCATCACATCATGACCAAATCTTCTAAGAAATGATAACAGCCAATTCTATATCAAATTTCAGAATAACTGATATAGTATCATGCATATGCAAAAACATCCTCAAAAATCGTGAACATTAAAATGGTGACATTTGATACAGAGAATTCTTTGCCTTTGCATGTTTACATTATTTGCTTTGATAGCAAGGTACCTTTTTGCACATTTACATTATTTGCTTTGATAGTAGATGCTTTTGTTAGTTGTTGAGGTGATTGACAACCTCATGCTGTTCTATTTAATTGCCTTTTCTGCAATGCAAGGTTCTGTTTAGAAGACGCTGTTTCATAAATAAATCCAAAGTGTGTGTATGTGTGTGTGTGTGTGTGTGAACTGCAGAGGTTTCATTTCTCAAACCAGTTCTGTAACTATCCCGTTACAGATGTCGCCATATTTATCTGCATTTACACTGGAGTTCGTTCTCATCTTTCATGTTTGTTGCCTTCTCTCTGTTTAAGAAAAATTATGGATGTCCTTAAAAGAATGAAAAACCTTTTATAGAGTTCTTCATATTTGAGAGAAGAATGAAGGTGTTGGGCATATAGTATTTTGGCAAAACATGTTAAAATTTCAAACTTTCAAGACCTAAACAATTATTCCCTCTAAGACTTTTTGTTTTGTTTTAGATGAGACTTCTCTACATCACAATCATCCTTTCTCAACTTCCCAAATGGTTGGAGCTACAGGTGAAAACTACCACGCGGGTTTTTAGGGTAGACTGGGAAAGCAGCCTGGGCCTCCCGTGCGGCCTCAGTCTACGGAGTAGCAGTATCTACTAGCACATGCTACCAAGGATGGGCTCCAACAAGGCTTATTTTGAAGATCTAAGAACTCAAAGGATTTTGCAATCCACCTAAATTTACATTCTAGCTTTTCTGCATTTGCTCCCTCAATTAATACAAGTAAATATGCATTTTTTCTAGTTAATAAATATAAGATAGAAATATCTCAACTAAAGACATTGTCAGGGAACAGCAGTTAGTATAATGGCTATGTCACTGGACTCACACGTAGTCGACCGTGGTTCGCGTCCTGGACCCAGTGGCTTAAACTCATGCTGGGCGCACATGTGTGCATGCCCGAGATCCCGAGAGGAGAATGGAGGAGAAGGGATTGCGGTGTGGCCATCCCCTTTGGGGGGTGATTTCTCGCTTTCTAGCTCTCTGTCTCTCTCTGTCTGTCTGGCAAGCGCACGCACCCTATAGCAAAAACCTCTCCCCCAAAAAAAGAGATTTTCAGATGATAACTTTTAAAAAAATCTCTCATTGAATTTTTGGTCAATATCATTGTAATAAACAATGTAAGTAGTTCAAAGTGGTTCAATACAGTTGTGATCGTTAGGACTTTTTTTTTCTTTTCACATAAATAAAAAACTAAGTTCAAATAATTCTTAAAAGATAGTTATTACCATTATGATGTTTTATGATATTTGGTTCAGAATATATATCAAAATAGTTATTACTCTTTTTTTAAAGGTGGTCGACTCTTTGTTGTAAAAGATCCAGATGATTTTCGACACAGAATAACAAATTCTGCAAGATTCTACAGCAGCTCAACACAGTATAAATACTACGGTGGTTTTCCCCTATGCTCTGCTGTGAGCATAAGTAAAAAAGACAGTGATTTAGAGGCAGAGACATGGAGAAATTAAACTCAAACTAGTGCTTTCAACTGGTCTGAGAAATAAAAGTTGGATCAAGTGTGATTGCTCAATTGTTAAATGAGGCCAAGTGATGTAGAAAAAAAAAAATGTTTAACTCTGAACCCTGACAGCACCAGTTAGTAACTGTCTAATTGTTCAAGGCTCTTAACTATTCTGAGTTCAGTTTTTTTTTTTTTCTCCTGTAAATGGAAATAAACAATATCTACTTTGTGGAAAATAGCCCTTACAGAATGGCCTGAAAGGGAGGAAACAAGAAAAATAAATGCTCAGCCCTCACTCCCCATTTTTTACATCTCCAGTCATGCTGGACAAACCAAACCCAAATCCAAAGAGCACAGAGTTCACTGATACAGTTTCAAGGCAAGTCTCCAGTGCAGAGAGCAAGATGCAAAATGGGGAAGAATAGATGTCAAGAGATGAATGGGAAATACCAGCATAGATATGAACAGAAGGTCATAGATAAGGCCATAAGATAAAAATCCAGAGAAAGTCATATTTTGATAATAAATCAGAGCTAAATCATAGTAGAATATTAAAAGTGAGAAGCAACCAATCAGGTAAAGAGAAAGGCAGAGAAAATTCTAGGCCAAAAGAACAGTACTGACAATGGCCGTAGGTGGGAAAAAGTTTTGTGTGTTACCTGATTTGGAGGAAAAATCCATCTGGCTTCCTAAGACAAGGTAAAAAAGTTAAATCAAATTGAATGTGTAATGTTTTGGGTTTTTGTTTTTGTTTTTGTTTTGTTTTGTTTTGTTTTTTAAAGAAGAGTGACACCTAGGAGGATCTTTCTGAAAGTTGTATTGGAGAATAGCTGAATAATAAAAGTTGGGGAAAGAAAAAAGAGCAATTAAAAATAATCAAACTTGCAATAGAGTGGATAACACAAGACAAAACCAGATGATTACATGCAGACCACAAAGCTTGTAAGTGGGCAGAAAATGGACAGCAGCTTTCAACTTGAGTTAGTAATAAATGTTTTGTACAACACAGACTTTAAACTGAACCTTAAAGGCTGAGGTAGACTTACAGCAAGTAGAGAGAAAAGGGGATGCGATTCCCAAATAAGAAGAAATAGCAGGTGGAAAATTACAGGAAAATTCAGGAAAGAATAAAGAAAGCTTTTTTTTTTAAGAGAACAGCAAAAGAAGATGGGGTTGGAATCAGGAAGGAGGAAGATGATGAACATGTTTCTGAACATTTGTAATTTAATTTTCTGAAGGTCTGAAGGTTTTCATTCTTGGACATGTATTTCAAAGAATTTGGTGAAAGTTTAAGTACTTTGGACACTAGAGAGATAGTCTTGGATTTCTCCCCCTCAAATTATATTACATAATGAAACCATCTGCTGTTGATTCAACATATGCAAAGCTGGTTCCAACTAATAATTCCCCGAAGACAAGAAATACCTGATTTTAAATCAAGATTTGTAAAGTCAGTGGTTTAAGTGTGCTTACATTATTTGCTGTTCTAGATCCGTATCATTGCTTCTTTGGTGCAGGTAGTTGAAAAGTAACTACATATTTATTTATATTCCCTATTTTTTTAAGCTAAGAAATATGATATTGATGACAGAAAGTGAGCTGTCTTTTTACTGGTTTACAGAATTAAGATAAGTAGAGGTGGTATTTACATACATTTCTAAGAATACAATTTTAGTTTTAAAAGAAAAATACTGAAAGTTATTTCTTGAGATCTTAAAACTCCAACTTCACTCTTGTACTGTGCATGTAAATTTTGTACTGAACAGTTTGGCATAGAAGTTTCAAATTTGGGATTTTTTTGTCCCAGAGTGCGCTTATTTCTCTTCTTCTGTTTAATATAAAAGATACAATTGGCAATATAGTTAGTTCTACATGTAATTTTTAAATCTATTATATGCAATATCAAACAATAAAAAATCAATGATATAAATATTACATATTTGTGTGTGGAGTGGAAGACTCAGAATTTAAAATATTTGCTCAAGGTAACATAATAAGTAAAAGGCACAACTGAAACCTGAATTGAAAAATGATTAGGGCAAATCGTTTTCTCACATTCCTTATTTGCAGTACTTTGAACCTCCCTGTGAGGGCATCAGAGTCATTAATAAACTCACAGTAGTCTCAATTCCCTTGTGAAGAAGGTGAAAAGTTGTACATATGTTAGTATTTCACAATAAGGCTTGTAATGACCAAGTGAAAATCCAGGTAAAGACAGAGCGATCTAGGAACACGTTTAAAGTGGCTTTACTTACTCAAAGCACTCTTCATAGGTCATAATGCTATTTTCTCTGTGCTTGTTTGATTCGTCACTGATTCTTTCAATAGACTGTAGAAAATGAACAATAGGACATTAGTAATTCAAAAAGATGCATCCCTGAAATGCTCTGGCTCTTTTTCTATGCCAATCTGAACCCCATACTTCTTCAAGGCTATGTCGTATTTCCACCTGCCTCCTGAAGACCTCCCTGTGACAGAGCCAGTTATCTATGCCTCTTTCCTTGCCAAACTTCACCTAATCTGTAAGGACTGCCTTTTCCCGACTGTGTGCAGTCTTTGGGAAATAAATGTGGGTTACTACCTTACCCTTAAGAAAACTGAGGTTTCCTGCAATTCCCATCTTTTCCAAAATATTCCACTCACCACCACATGACAGCTCTTCCCTTGAGCTTGGCTAATTGGATCCTCTTCATTGGGATGTTGAATCTTGGGCAGAGTAATACAAGAACAAAGTACAAGACCAAGCAAAGGGGAGAAAACTGGAAGCAGTCATTTTAAAGGACTATCTTAGAAACATATAGGAACTCCATCATTGTCTGTTAAATTAATTTTTAAAGAGTTATTTTATTTAACTTTATTTATTTATTTTAATTTGGCCAGAGAGGGACAGAGTGAGAGAGAGAGAGGGAAAGTGAGAAAGCAAGCTGCCAGATCCGAGATTCCAACCACGGTCAACCATGTGGGAAACCAGGGCCCTTAACCACCATGCTACCTGCTGGCCCCAGTTAAATTAATTTTTAACAAGAGACTACATAAGAAAATGAAATAATCATCGAATAAGGAAATGCTCCAGTGAGTTCGTTTTCCCAGTAAGATGCAAAACATCAAATGCAGACTTTTCATTGAACAGCGTATCTTCTATAAAATGAAGCCTGATTCATGTTGAACTTCTACTATTTTTTCTAAACACTAGACTGAAGACTTTTATCTTATGGTTAAAGTCCATTAATAAGAGAAGAAGAAGAGAGAAGAATATGGAATTCATAGGCAAAGGAAAGTGCAGTAATAGAATGGAGTTCATCTCGCCTGATGGCCCTTTCTGCAACATTTTAGTGCATTCCTTTGATAAGCGAATACCCAGATCACGTTGCATTCATAGCACACTAGGAACTTGCACAAATAAAGACTGATTTCATTTTTGATTATTCAAAAATTCAAAACGATTCTCTCAGAGAGCATGTGAACCTCATAGTTTGTGATATTTGGAGATTCCATTGTGTTGGACATGATTTTAAAAAATAACAAAAAATTATAAAATGCAGAAAGTAGTACATATGGGGTGTAAATACACACTAGAAGTTGTAATGCTGCCTCTTGTATAGAACTATATTACTTGAAAGTACTTTAATGATTGTGAGTCAAAAGCTCTACATTGTATGAAAGGAACTACTATTGAGGAATTAAGTAAATGGTCTTTAAATACCATTCACACATGTAATATTTAAAAACAACATTTACCAAAAAAATCACTTTATTTTTTATATATATATATATACATACACACACACACACACACACACACACACATATATATATATAAAATGATTTTCAATACTTTGACATAAGGATATATATTATTTTCCCCAGCACAAGTAAGTGTTGCCTTTTTATATGCAAAGGATGAGAAGGATAATGTTGAAATATTACTTCTCATAGTAATGCTTAAAGCACTTGTGTTTCTTAATTCATGTGATTTTTCTTCTGTTAATACCCATTTGTATAACTGTGTATGATGAAAGTTGAGAAATGACTCATCAAGAAGGGATGAAAGGCTAACAAAACTTGAGAAATTCTATGCTTAACAGAAGTGATGGTTATAGTCCCCCATTCACATAAAAAGTCATAAAGTATTTCCTGTTTTGTCCCATTTCTCAGTTGGAACATAGTCTCACAGAGGGAACATGAACAGATTAAAAGCTGACTTTTTCTTCTTTTAAGAAAACATGTGCATAATTACTTCTGATTTCTTTTAAGTAGTTCAGTAGACAATGAGTACTATTTCAAAACTACAAGCATTCCATGGGAATCTCTCTCAAAAGAAATAATTAATGTTGGATGTCATTTTGCAAGTTGTTTATGGAAAGCTATAATCTTCCTGCAATATAGAGTGCAGTATAAACCAATTCATAAGTGATTTTCTTTATCTGGAGATCCAAATTACATCTATGAGAAATGATCTAAGATTTTTTTTTCCCCTTGAAAAAAACAAGAGGCTATTACAATTGTAGGTACCTGCTAAAAATGTTCTTAATTTACAAATGCTCTTGACTCTGAGTGCGCTGGGACATCTTAGTTTTGTCCCAGTGGGTTTTTCAGATCATTCTCTGTAAAGAAAGGGTTCTATACCGGAGATGCAAATGGCAATGGACAGACAGAGGGGAGCAAGCAGGGGTATTTCTTCAAGAACTAGAGAACTTTGACTGAAACCTTTAAGAGATCCAAACCAATAAGGAAGATAAAAAAAATACTAAAGGTATAATTACACACGCAAGGCTTTCTAAAGTTAGGGAGAAGATAATGGGAAGGCAGTGGACTTTCATTTAGTCCAGGACCTAATGTCCTGAAAATGGGTCAATGGATCTTGAGATTTGGTAACTTCTCCTTTGTAAATTATCCTTATTCTTAGTGTTTATTTCCAAGTTGCCTTTGTCAGGAAAGCCCCAAACTAAAAAAACCCTGTGCATTTGTCCAGGGTTAAGAAAGGAGAGAAAAACTAGTGTGCTATATAATATGGGAGTGCATAAAAAGGAGCTCCAAAAGATCTAAATGTGTTGAAGAAGCTGAAGGGGGAAAAAAAAGTGATTCTTGTAATCTTCCAAAAGAAATAAAGGAGAAGAGAGTAAATGGTCCAGAAAGGATAATAGCTCTTTATTAATAACATTTATTAGCATTTGTTTTATTCTCTCTCTGCCTCTCTGGGAGTATAAGGGTGATAATGATTAAAAGTATATGAATAAGGGCCTGGCAGGTGGTATGGTGATTAAAGGCACTATATTCCCTCGTGGCTGACCACAGTTCGAGTCCCAGACCTAACAGCTTGCTTTCTCACTTTCCCTTTCTCTCTCTCCCTCTCTCTCTCTCTGTCTTGTCAAATTAAAAAATAACAATAGCAATAATAATAATAATAAATGTAATTAAAGAAATAATTCTTTTTTTAAAAAAAGTATATGAATAATTTAAAGCACTCATAACTTCACACTGGAATAATGTTTAGTTTTATACTGCCACAGTTGTGTATGTTCAGATTTTTAAATATATTACAAGTCAGGAAAATGAGACATAGAACTTCTAGTCTAGAGACTGATAGTTTGGAAAACAAAGACTTGAATTGGAGTTTCTAATTCTTTCCTTTGCCCTGAATGGAACAAATGGGTTTGGTTTTATCTCTTTTCCTCACAAAAGTCTGAGTAGAGAAGCAATGCTAAATCTCAAATATTCTAATCAATGCGCTGTATTACGACTATTGAAGCATGAATAATTATCAGCTGTCTTAATAAGCTCTGCTTGTGTTTGCCTACTCCAGCAACCAAATCCTTCAAAATTAATGTAGACATTTGTTTAGCTTTCTTAAAATGGGAGTGCTGAATTTATGCAGTGCTCACCCAGCAAATGATTTTTTAAGTGTCTCAGTGTCCTGTACATACACAGGATGGATGCCAAGACATCTCTCCTTATGCCTCTCTTTCTCTCCTTCGTTTTTGCTTTCTTCTTCCTGCCCTTTATCTAGACCTTTGCTCCTCATATTTAAGCTTTCCAAAAGCGCCTCTTCATCTATACGTTATCTTCCCTGTCTCTCCTGTCTTCAGGAACTATACGCTGATATGCCACTCTGACCTCTCTGAGCTCTGGGAGTAGCTTCCCCAAATTCTGGTGGATAAAATTCTTCATCCTACTTATATATTGATCACTAAACTCCTTTCTTTGTTTTTAATTTAATTCCCCAATAATCCATTTTAAAGGCCTAATATAACTCCTTCAGGGAAGGTACATGATTCACAATGATTCCTCTTTTCCAAAAGTGACTTCTGGGATCACGACTGTAAAATGAGGCCAGCTGATTACTCAAGATGGGTGATTTGATTCAAAGATAGCTAATTCAAGCTGGTAGTCTCAGCTTCCCTTTCTCGGAAACTTAAAATCTAGAAATTCAGCTAGAGATGCACCTGGGCTCAACATTAGCAGAGGTGAAATGAGAATAGTCTACACCCTAGCTTCGGAGCCTCCCAGAGCCATGCTACTTTCTTTCCTTTTCAAAGTCTTGTTTGGCTCATTCTTGGACTCAATAAGTGACTCAGTATTTTTCCAATAAAGCTGTTATCCTACGTCAGTTCTTTGTACCATATAAACCTATTTTCCAGAAGGATCTAGACCAATCGATGGTTGATTAATCCAAAAATGATTTATTTCAAGTAGAAAATCATAAACGTTATGGATATTCCAAACCCTTTATTTTCACTTAAAGTATAATAATGTATACATATTTTTCAAATTTTGTATATCTACTAACTAGAATTTCCACTTACTCTTTTATAAGCCACAGCCAAAATGCAATAATAATAATTTCTAGTTTAAACTTCAAAATAAAATGACCACTTTAAGTTAATTATAGAGAACCTAGGTAGACCATTCTTCCAAATTAATGGAATCATTTCCCAATTCATAGTTGTCGTATCCATACCTCATTCCTGAGCAATTTCGTTTTATTCATTTTTCCCTTACCAAGCTTCCTCTAGTATTTCATTGAACTAAAATACCCCTAAAAACTTTTTCTGTTCACAATATTGTATCAATAAAGAGATCTAACATTAAATTATATAATTATAATACTACAACTGACATAAACAGATTTGAAAACACATATAGCTTTTTATTAAGCATTTAGCTCACTAGTAGGGGAAAAATTGTACCAGTATGTTAAAGAATAACCATTTAATTTTCACACTTAGCATACTGTAGACAATAGCACAGTGTATAAGAGGGCATCTGTCACTCTGTAGATTTCATTAAATGAAGGCAGATGAAATGAATAGCCACTAGTTTTAAAACCAA